GCAGCAAATGCATGGGGTCCTCCTCAGTTTCAGCAAGCAGGGTTGTATCATCTGCATAACTCAGATTATTAACAGATCTTCCACCAATCTTGAGGGATTTATAGCCTCTGAAAACTATTGGAGGGTCAGCTGTGAGCCGAGTCTAACACAAAGGCAATGGGTGGGGGGGGATTTTTGGTTATTGTCTATAAGAAAAAGCCACTAAGAAAAATGAAAAAAATCCCTGCCCTTGTTTACCTGGGAGGAGTGGAATAGACAATAAATAGGATAAATAATTAAAATATATAGTATCAAAAAAAATACAGTATTGTGGAAAATGATGTGTCTAGTACCACTGTTGAAAAACAGAACTGACATCGGGGTTGGGGGAAGACTGAGAAAGAGGGGATAAATTATGTATACTGCATTGAAACAGATAAGAGAGAAAGGTGTTTAAAATGGGTATATGATTAAGTGTTATTGTCACGACAGAAGTCCAGAATGAAGGCTGCATAGTGGAATATACTTGGGGGAAGGAATTGTATAACAATGAAAGAATTTTTCTTTTAATTTTCAAAACAACCAAAAAAGACATTAAAAGCAAAGAAAGCAATGGGAAATAAAGAAATAAGTAGGGACTTGATATTTTAGAGAAGGTAATCGGGGTGGTCTAATTGAGAAGGTGACATTTCATTAGAGGTGAAAAGTGGAAGAGTGAGCCATGTGGCTCACATGGGATGAATATTCCACAGGAAGTGAAAAGACTCCAAGGCCAGAGTTGGGTGGTGGTCAAGGAGCAGGGGCTAGTGTCATAGGAACAGGACAAGAAGGAGGGTTGGTAAGAGCTGCAGAGAGGCAATGCGAGGTGGGAAAGGCATCATGGAGGGACTCGTAGGTCATGGTTAGGGCCTGAATGAAATGAAGGATCGTTTGGTACATAGGAGAGACTTGATTCAACATTTTAACGGGAGAAAGTAAAGCCAAGTCTAAAAGAAGGCAAGAGCAGAAACAGAGAAACCAGATCAAAGATTTTTAATTAAAATGAAAATAGAGGTGACCAGGCTAAGAGAGAAGCAACATTCAGTTGACATTTGTTGGGGGAAATATTGAATCATGTCTTTCTGCCAGCATTATGGTGCTTGAAAGTGCAGCCAAGGGGACGCTGCTTCTGGACCTGAACAAGTTCTGCTTTGATGATGACAGCGAAGCACCAAACAACAAATTCAACTTCACCACGCCATCTGGAGTGGGGAGCAGCAGCAGATTTTTACAGGATCCAGCTGGCTCTGGGAGAATTGTGGTCAGTTAACAGTCATTGCATCATTGAAAGGGCAATGGGGAAGCTGGTCTAACATGCCTAGCATGCCCGCTACCCCATAGAGGGACATTTCCAAGGTAACTTCCCCTCCGGAGCGGAGCGACTGTAACTGACAAACTTAATAGGGAGTTTTCCCATTTGCTCTTTATTTTACCGAGGTTCCGGAACTCGTTTGTTATGCAGACTTGTGCCTGGGGTGCTAAGGACTGAATTCTTTCTTGCATAGCTCACAGTTTGCTGGGCTGTTTAGCTGCCTCTGTAGTCACATTAGTGCCCTCTGGGCTCAAGCACTTGTTTATTTGAGAGCTCATTCCTTGCCCATAAAGAGGTGAGATGAGAGGAAGCAGAGCCAAGACCATGAATGTACCCTGATAAATTCAGCACTGGAGACTAACTGGGTGAGGCGCTGCTGGATAGTGGTAGACTGCTTCAGGTGGAAGACTCTGATTCTATCCGTAGCCACTGTACCTTATGTACCAACCTGTCAGTAGAGGCTTGTGTGTGGCTGTGATGCTGAACAGACTTCAGGAGAGCTTCCAGACTAAGGTAGACTAGGAAGAAAGGCCTGGCACTCTGCTTTAGAAAGTCAGCCAGGAAAAACCTGATGGATCACAACCGTCCAAACCCCAGCCAATCAGGGGAATGTCACAGCACTAGGGAGTGTCTTGTTGGCTTGTGCCTTGAATTGCTGGGAGTCAGAGGCCAATCTGATGGCAACTTACAATGACAACAGTACCCTGGAGACCCAAATGAAAGAATGAGGGCAACACACTTATGGCCACTCCACAGGGTCAAACCAGAGATGAGAGACAATGGGTGTTGAGACACTTAGAGAGCTTGCTGGAGGGGCAGAGGGGAAGGGGAAGAGGAAAGGGGAAGGGCAAGGAACATGGGTGGTGAGCAGGGGTCTAGAGAGCGGGTTGGTTGGCACCAGAGATACAGCCTGAAGCAGAAGAATGAAGCAGGCCTTTTCCCCAGCCCTTCTCCCCACCTCCTCGTCCACCTCACACTGCAAGCCCTCCTTCACTTCTCAAGAAAATCTCACCAATTTTATTCAGAGAGTCCTTTGAAAAATAATTCTCATTTTCTTTCTGTTTAGGAAATTAGCACATATCCGATGTAGACAATGTCGAGGACACAGAAAAGCACGATAATAATTGCTAATATTTTGATCTGCTTCCTTCTTGGCTTTATTCCATGCATATATTCATACATGGTCTAGATAACGCATAAGTATTCTAAGTATGTGTAAGTATTTTAAATAATAACAATATTTCGGCAAGTAGGATTCTGTATCCTGCTTTTCTTCTTCAGTCGCCTGAAGTTTGAGTCCCTGCTGTTGTACAATAGTGCTTGCTGACTATCTTTGTATAGAAACCCTCTCTCCTGATAAATTCTTTAGAACAAGCTCTTTAGCAATAAATAAAGGCATGGATATAACTATGAATGGCTCCAACGCTGTCCAGAATGGCTTTGCCAGTTTACCCAGTTGCTAGCTGTGGGGGAAAATGTCTTTATCAGTGTGATAAGTAGAATTGTCTGTTCTGTATAATCTAACATCTCTGTTTTAATCTAGTTGATTGGTGATCTGGATTATGAAAATCCAAGTAATCTGGCAGCTGGTAATAAATACTCCATGATAATCCAAGTGCAGGATGTTTCTCCACCTCACTATAAAAGCAAGTATCACCGTAACTCGTTTCCTGGGGCATCTTCTTGAATAGCAATGACTGTGCTAAATGGTATTGTTGGTATTTAAAAAGCAGGCTTCCATAAAATCAGACATTTGAAAGTTTTATCAGTCTTCTCCTTCTTTCCCTGGTACATTTCTTTCTCCCTTTCCTCGGTGTCACTTCCTAAAATCTCAATAATCTGCTCCCTCCCCGACCCCATCTCTGCTCTGCGCTCCACTGTGTTTGCTTTAATGCAGGCTTTGCCTTTTCTTGGCTCGATTACAACCCTTAGCTGTCTCTTTTTTTTTTTTTCTTCTTTCAGACAGGCAAAGCATACTTAAGGGTCTCTCTGTCTGCATCGTGTCTCTCTCCACTGTACCCTTCCTAGTTCTATTAGTAATGTTATAGGAAATGCAAATACTGTGATAATACATCCTTGCAGAAAGCCCTTGACTGTCTTTCATAGCTTTCCAGTTCAAGTTCTAACTCTGATTTCATATGCAAGGACTTTAATCATCTGGCTTCTACTTCATTCTCAAGCCTCATTTCCAGTCACTGTCCCCTAAGCCCACTTCCTCCAAGCTAGCCCAAACAGCTTGTGGTTCTCAAGAATAAAAGATGCTGTCTAATGTCTTTGCCTTGGGACGCACTGATGGCGTGGTCCGTAGGGAGTGGGTCTGCTAACCCCAAGTCGGCACCACTTTGGCTGTTCGAATCCACCTGTGGCTCCAAAAGAGAAAGATGGACAGTCTCCTTCCACGCAATTTACAGCCTCAGACACTCAATTAAGGGTCAACTTTGAGTAGATTCTGCCTCAAAGGCAATGAGCTGAGTAGGCCTAGTGGCATAGTGGTTAAAGACTTCAGCTGCTAACCAAAAGGTTGGTAGTTTGAACACATCAGCCACTCCACAGGAGAAAGATAAGGCATCCTAATTCTGTGAATGATAACAGCCTTGGGAACCTTCTGAGAAGTTCTACAGCATCTCTGTGGGTTAGAATCAACTCAAGGGCAGGATGTTTGGTTTTTCAGTCGCTTGGCATATGCCAAGAATACCCAGTCTAGTCCACCTCCAGCTTCATTTATCTGACTCAAATAGCCCTTGTTGGGAGCTCTGGTGATCTAGTGGTAATATGTTGTTGTTGGTGTGTGCTTTCGAATCGGAGCCAACCCACAGTTGACCCTCCAATAGGTTTTCCAAGGCAGTTAAACCTCTCGCAGAGGACCTGGTGGGTTCAAACCACATGCCTTTGGGATTGCAACATAGTATCCTGGAACTGCTGGGAGAAATATGGACAATCTCCTCTAGTGCCATTTACTGCAGCTGAAAGAGTCAGCTATGGGTTGATTCCAGCTCAACAGCACACAACAATGACAACTGTCCTTGTAGTCCCTTGGAAGATTAGCTGAAAGTTTGGTGGTTCAAGCTCATCCAGTAGCACCTTGGAAGATAGGCCTGGTGGTTTGGTTTTGAAAGTCACAGCTTTGAAAACCTGGGACAGTAGCCCTACTCTTACTTTTGAGGGACCATGAGTCAAAGCCCACTTCGTATCAAGTAGTATAAACTCTCTTATAAAGCTCAGCACACACGTGCTCCTGGAAGGTAGTCCTCCTTCATCTTTCCTTGTGCCCTAAGCAGGGTATGATAAAAATGAACACACCTTGAGACCTAATGGATAAGTAGTGGCATTGCCAACCCAAAAGCAGGTGGTTCGAATGCACCAGCTTCTCACTGGGAGGACGGATGATCTCTTCCCATGTGATTCACAGACTCTGGAAAAGCCTGCGGGAGGTCAGTTCCAACTCACAGGCACATAACAACAAAAGTGCCTTAAAGGCAAGGATGACAGCATCTTGTTCATCCTGTAGCCCCAGTGTTTTGCACAGAAGATACTTTAGAAATGTTGAAAAAGCAAATCAGTGGCTGAGAATAGAATAGCGAGATTGAAATTTTTTTCTATTTCTGTTTTTAGATAACATCTATATTTATATCCTAACAATCCCGGTAAATGAGTTCCCTCTCATCTTTGATACGCCGTCCTATGTATTTAACGTGTCAGAAGTAAGCTCAGGTAGGTAATAGACTCACCCAGACGCGGCTCTGTCGAGGGGATGCTCCCTTGGAGAGGGCCTGCCTGGTGTTTGAACTGCACTTGCCAGCTGATTAGTGTTTATTGCATCTTGTATTTTTCTCTTAAATTGTCCTTACTGCTGAGGAGCCCTTCAGGTGAAGTCTGGGTTTTGAAAACTGGTGATTAAACCGCATTTGTTAGAAACCCTTGATTACGGCTTTGTCTGTTTGCCTGGTTCCTCTAATCTTCTCTCTTTATAGTTGAACTTTCTCCTGGTCTCACCTCGATTTTTATCCAGCTCACTTGGAAAATTGAAGTTGAAAAGATAAAGTTTCCCATTCCTACACTACCTTCATTTAAAAACAAAATAAAGACTGTGTCTCTCACCATGACTTGCATTCACTGGAGGCCTTCTTTTAAGCCTCTCTGTGTATATATATATATACCCTGATTCCTCCAGTCTTGCCCCCATTAAAGTCTTGTAGGGCTCCTACTTTTGACTTCACTTTCTTCCTATCGGCCCCAGTTTGAAAGTAATGATGTGAACTCTCTAATACAATCTCAGATTTCCCCACAATTTTATTCCATTGATTATGGATTACTTATTCTTTCAAAAACCAAACAACCCTTTAAATTGCTACTTCATTTTAATTTCTATTTCTGTCATTAAGTTTAAAATAAAGCACAAAAAAAAGGAGCAAAGAAATGTTTTTAATCTTATAACTTAGCTACCGGATAACAAATGCAGCAGAAGTGAACAAGGTTTTCAATGGAATGCATAGGTTTTACTACAATTCATTTTGGTCACCTACTTTGGGGTCAAGTATTTTACTTGGTACTGGGGCTAAACTAACAGTATAATTTATGAGAAAGAGCTTTCATAAAGCAAGCAGGTCAAAGCTCCAGTAGTTTCTCCAATAAGATTTGTAAAATAAGAATAATAGGATAGAAATTTGAAATTTATAATTTATCATTTTTGGCTGCTAAATCCTTAAAAATATTTATATTTATTCCTATTTTAAAAGCAATTCATATGCATTACAGGATTAGACAAAATAGAGTATAAGACAGAGGAGAAATCCTTTCTATAACACTGCTGCAAAAGCTTTGTGCCTGCGAAGTTGTTTTCAGCAGTGCTGTTACAATAGCAAAATTATTAGCATTCGTTATTATGTTATCAAGTCAGAACCAACTCACAGCTGAGCCTCCAGTGACTTTTCAGAGGCTGTCAATGACCCATAACGAGATGGATTGTCCATCTTTCTCCCAAGAAGCAGCTAGGGGATTCGAACTACCTTTATTTAGGTTGACAGTGCAACTCTGTACCTGTGAAGCCACCACACAGGACTAGGTCCTGAGTAAAGAGCTCTGGTGGTATCGTGCTTTACATGTCAGGTCAGGGGTTTTAATCCACCAGGTCTGTTCTGCAGAAGGAAAATAGGCAGTGGCCTTCTGTAAAGATTTACCACCTTGGAAGCTAAATTAAAGGTCACTTTTAGCAGTGACTCAATGGCAGAGGGCTGGGTTAGGTCCTACATGGAACAAGTCACTTGCAATTGCCTGAGAGCCCCTGTGGTGGTGCTTTAACCCATCCTGCAGCTCTGTGTTAGAAAAGCCTGATGATCTGCTTCCAAAAAGATCACAGCTTGGAAGGCCTATGGAGCTCTGCAGAACATGGGTTCCCACGAGTCAGAAGTGACATGAGTTAATAGCAAGGGTTGCCCTTTTTTTTTTAAGTATAATGGGACTGAAGACATAACCTAGACTTTGAATAACACAAAGAACTCTGAGAGTTGTTTCACCTGGCAGTGAGGTGGGTCATCTGTCCCTGTGCCCCACGCCCTCAGCCGTATTGTTGTTGTGTACAATCAAGTTGGAACCAACCCATAGCTGACCCTCTGGCACGTTTTCAGAGGCAGTAACTTGCACAGGACATTGCCCATCCTTCTCCTGCAGAACAGCTGATAAATTCAAACTGCATACCTTTGGCTTGACAATACAGCTCCTTCCTGCCAGCCCACCAGAGCTCCCTCCCACGGCAGTACTAACCTCAGATATATTCTGTTCCTCCAGCCCGAGCTCGGATTGGACAGGTACGAGCCACTGACAAGGACTTCCCCCAGAGCACCATCGTCTACTCCATCGCTGCAGGCGGGGCCAGCCTCCAGCACCCAAACATATTTTGGATTAATCCCAAGACAGGCGAACTCCAGCTGGTGACAAAAGCGGACTATGAGACGACCTCCACCTATACTCTTAGAGTCCAGGCCACCAACAGTGAGGCCACAGGCACAGCCATGGTGAGGGGTGCTGTTTGGTGGGCTCACACCAGTCTCAGACTTCCGCTCTGGCATGGCAGCGTGTCTCGGCTGTGGCCACAGGATACGTCATAGGGGGCAGACTACAGTTGGACAGGAAGTAAGCACTGTGACATACAGAGAACACTGGACATACAGAGGGAAAGGTGCCTGGGAAATAAGGATTGACATTGGAGTTCAGGCCTGAGAAACACTAAGATTGATGACCAAATGTTGGAGTCGATTGAACCCACAATTCTTCCTTTGCTTTCACGATGAGATGGTGATGAGGTACACACTGTTGAGAAATGAGTTGGTTTCATAGTTCTGCACAGCCCCTGTCCCCACTAGAGTAGTTCTGTCATATTTTAATCCACCCCATACATATAAAGTTGGGATAGATCTTAAGAT